ACCTGTTAAAGGATGCCAGGCATACACAAGGTCCCATGATCCTGGTTAGCTGAGACAGGGTGTGGATCTTGGAGTAAGGGCCCTGCTGGGGGGTATCTGTCTTTCTGCTTCTCTTTCTCTCTTTGATAGAATAAATAAATAACTCAAATATAAAAGGATACTGGGACCAGCAGATGGCAGAATGGTTACATTGCTGGATTTCCACATGGCTGACCGCAGTTTGAGTACCAGATCCAGAGGCTTGAAACTCATGCCCAGCACATGTGCATGTGTGCCCAAAATCCTAAGAGGAGAATGGAAGAGAAGAGATTGTGGCGTGGCCATTCTCTCTGGTAGAGAGAGGGTGATTTCTTGCTTTCTGTTTCTATGTCTCTCCGGCAAGTATACATGCCCCATAGCAAAAGTTCTAAATAAATAAATAAATAAATAAATAAATAAATGGTGCTGGAGTGGTGTAAGGTATTGCCTATTCCCTCGACCTTCAAGAGCTCCAAACCAGATTGATAACTTAGCAAATATTTGTTCAGTACCTCCTGTACCTTAGGCACTGTTCTAGGCACCAGGAATACGGTACAGAACAAACTTCTAGTTCTCATGCAGACAGACAATAAACAAATAAGTACGCAGGAAAATATTACATGGTAATAAGATCTACAAAGACAATTAACCAGGCTGATGTGATTAGGTAAAACTGTAAGGGAGGGAGATTCTCCTTGAGGAAGGCCATTTAAGCTGAGACCAGATAGACAAAAACCAGCCCTCGGAAGATCAGGTGGAAAAGCATTCAAGCAGAGGGAAGAGCAGATGTGAAGGTCCACCCAAGAAAATTGGGATGTTCAAGGAACAGAGAGGCCAGTATGGCTAGAGCAGAAAGAAAAATAAATAAAAGAGAAAGAAAACTAACATCCACTAGGTTTTGCCATTCAAGGACGAACTAGGCCTGACTGCACTTAGGTTTTAGGATCAGAAGAGATGAGGAGCATTGGAATCAGCAGACGGCGTAATGGCTACGTCGCTGGACTCCCACGTAGTCAACTGTGGTTTGAATCCCTGACTGGCAACTTAAATAGCTCATGCCGAGTGGGCGTGTGTGCTCACATGCCCACCTTACATCCCAAGAGGAGAATGGAGGAGAAGGGATTGCAGCATGGCCATCACCCCTGGTGAATAATTTCTGGCTCTCTGTCTCTCTGGTGAGCGTGCACACTCTACATCAAAATCTCTCAAAAAAAAAAATAAAATAAATAAATAGAAAAGAAAGAAAGGAAAAGAAAAAAAGAAAGGAATAGATAAGGAGCATTTAGGGTGGTGTGGTTGAAGACACCCAGATTTTCTCCCTGAGCCAGGCTCCAAGAAGGTTACCAGAGTTCAATGAGGCACCAGCACTTCCTCCTCCAGACGGCACGTTCCTACTCCCTTCACACACCGCTCCTGTCTTGTTTGGCTGTGACTGCGGCAGCTAACTCTGTGCTATGCCATGTACAAGACCCCCATGGATATGTAATTCGTTCTTACAATGACCTTAAGTTATTGTTTCCTTTTCTTCTTCTTCTTCTTCTTTTTTTTTTTTTTGTTGTTTGTTTTCTGAGAAAGAGATGTTTGCTATAGGGCTCATGCACTTGTCAGAGAGACAGAAAGTGAGAAATCACCCCCTAGGGGGAATGGCCACACTGTAATCCCTTTTCCTCCTTTCTCCTCTCGAGATTTTTGGGCACACGTGCACATGTGCCCAGCATGAATTTCAAGCTGCCAGGTCCAGGAATTGAACTGCATGTATTCAACTATGTGGGAGTCCTTGTACCTTCACCACTAAGCCGCCTGCTGGCCCCTTCATTTTAAGATGAAGAAAATGGGGCCTGCTTATGGCCTGCTAATTGAGGAGCTGGACCCCAGATAGCCAAATGCAGTTGAGTCTCAGACTCCAAATCTTGAAAACACATTGGGAACGTGTGTGTGAGTGTGTGCCCCAAACCCTGAAAGGAGGGAGGAATGGAGGAGAATCAATTTTGGAATGACCATTCTTTGTGGGGAATGTTTTCCCTTTCTCCTTCTCTGTGTCTCTTTGTCTCTCTTTGACATGATCACATGCCTACTGGCAAATTAAAAAAATATATATGAAGAAAATGAGGCTTGGGACGAGCAGTTGGTATAATGGCTATGTTGCTGGACTCCCATGTAGTCGACCCCGGTTCAAGTCTCGGACCTGGTGGCTTAAACTCACACTGGGCGCGTGGGCTTGCGTGCCCAAGATCCCGAGAGGAGAATGGAAGAGAAGGGCTTGTGATGTGGCCATCCCCTCTGGGAGATGATTTCTCGCTTTCTATCTCTCTGTCTCTCTCTGTCTTTCTGGCAAGCGCAGGTGCCCTGTAGCAAAATCCTCTCCAAAAAAAAGAAAGAAAGAAAGAGAGAGAGAGAAAGAACGAATGAATCTTAAAGTGCTTAAATAAGGGGACTAGCAGATGGTGTAATGGTTACATCACTGGACTCCCACATAGTCAACCACGGTTCGAGTCCTGGACCCAGTGGCTTAAAACTCACTCTGGGTGTGTGTACACGCATGACCAAAATTCTGAGAGGAGACTAGAGAAGAAGGAATTGCAACATGGCCACCCCACCTGGGGGGTGATTTCTTGCTATCTGTCTCTCTGTCTCTCTGTCTCTTTCTCTGGCGAGCACAAGCACCCTATGGCAAAAATCTCTCTCTAAAAAAAAAGGTGCTTAAATAAGGGCCCAAGGTCATATGCCTAAGAATTGACAGCCTAGAGTGTGAACTTTGATCTGTTAGACAAGAATCTAATCATTGGGGCCAGCAGGTTGTGTGGTGGCTAAGGGCACTGGACTCCCACATGGTCAACTGGGGTTCCAGTCCTGGACCTGGCAACCTGCTTTCTCACTTTCCTTCTCTCTCTCTCTCTCTCTCTCGCTCTCGCTCTCGCTCTCACTCTGTCCCTCTCTGGTCAAATGAAAAATAAATAAAGTTAAATTTTAAAATAGTCTTAAAAAAAAAAATCTAAGCACTTAATTACTGGGCTATAAACCCACTTCCCAATCTTCCATAGACTTTAGGTTCCCCAACAGAAGCCACAGAATTGCTGCAACTTCTAGTTTCTTGCTAAAGGTGGGTCATAACAGTCCTGACCTTGCAGGTTGTTGAAAAGGTTAAAGAAGTTAATCTAAGGAACAGCAAGTGGTGTGGTGATTGAGGCGCTGGATTCTTACATGGTCGACATAGATTCAAGTCTCGAACCTGGAGGCTTGTTATCTCTTTGCATGGCCTGTATCCCACTGAAGAATAATAATAATGATAAGTAAAATTAAATTAATAATTCTTAAAAAAATATATAGTCCAGCGATTGGCACAGCAGTCACATCACTGGATTCCCACATGGCCGACTGCGGTTTGAGTCCTGGACCCAGTAACTTGAAAATCACGCCAGGCACATGTGTGTGCGTGCTCAAGATCCCGGAAGGAGAATAAAGGAAAAGGAATTGCAGCATGGCTGTCTTCCTTGGGGAGATCTCTCACTTTCCCTCTCACTGTCTCTGTCTCTCTCTGGAGAACACATGTGCCCCAAGGCAAAAATCTCTAAAAAAAGTATTAAAAAAAATAAATTAATCTATGGGCCAGCAGGTGGTGTGGGGACTCCCACATGGCTGTGGCTTCAGCCCTGGACCTGGTGGCTTTAAAAATCACGCTGTGTGTGTGTGTGTGTGTGCATGCCCAACATCTCAGGAGGAAAAGGGATTATGGTGTGGCCATCCTCCCTCTCTCTCTCTCTCTTTGGCTAGTGCATGCACCCTATGACAAAAGACCTAAAAATAAAGTTAGCCTAGATTTAGCCCAACAATAACCTTAAGTTATGGTTTCCATTTTAAGATGAACAAATAAGGGGCCACTGGTGTGGTGGTTAAGGCACTGGACTGTCACATGGTGCATTCCCACCTAACTGTGGTTCGAGTCCCAGACCTGGTGGATTGGTTTCTCACTTTCCTTCTCTCTCTCTTTGTACTCTGGTGAGTGTGCATGTCCTATAGCAAATTAAAAAATAATAATGAATAAAATTAAATAAGTGATTCTTTAAGGGGGAAACAAAAGATGAAGACATGACCTAGCTCTAGGATGACTAACCACCCTAGTTTGCCTATGACCAAGTGGGTTTCCAGAAATAGTTTCAAAACAGGGAAGGTCCTTAGCAAATCAGGACACATTGGTCATCATATCTAGATGAGTGCTTGGCTCTAAATACATGCTCTGTGGGTGCTCTTTCCTCTTTCATCCATTTGACAACCCCAAAGTGGCAAGTCTCTGCCCTGCTTAGGAGCTGGGAGCCCTGTAGACTTACACAGGCGAGAGTGGGTTTATTGTGCTGAGCACCTAGCTCCAAGGGGTCACACGCAACCATCCAGCGTCCAGGAAATGGCAAATCTCTCTCTGGGGTGACTCCAGTCACCTTTACGGTGTCCCCTGGGCTGATAGCACTTGCTTGGACTTGTGGGTCTTTAAGTTGTGGGATAGTGACACTGGGACAGTTGGTGGGGAGGCCAGTAGCAAAGCCAGGCAAGAAGGTCTTGAGATGGTTGTGGTGGAAGGGAAGGAAAAACAGGCGCCCTGGGCATTGACTTCCTGCCTTGCCCTGGGTTGCAATAAAGGCCTCAGAGGCAGTTCTGTGATCAGGCACATTTGGCTGGATAAGGAAACTGAGGCTCAGTGACATAAGTGACTTGCTCAAGGTCGCACAGGAAGAGATGGGTAATTGGAATTTGAACCAAATTCCCAGCAAAGCAGGGATCTTTGGGTCTGGGCAGGTCGAGTCCTGCAATTTCCTCCCTCCTGCTGAGCTTGGGTCCCCCACTTGTCTAGACAGCAGTCGGGCTTGTCACGGGGCTCTGTATAGCCCTTTCCACCCTCCCAGCTGCTAGCGTTCCGCCCTATCCCTTCCCAGCGCCCAAAGGGGGAGGGGAGAGCGGGAGAGAGAGGAGGGGGAGTCGGGGAGGCTCGGCTTTATATAAAAGCGGCTGGAGCAACGCTGCCCGCCAGACCCCGCCGCTCGGATCTCAGCGCTTCCTGCAGCCCCACGTGACCACACCGTCCCCTAGCTCCGCGGCTGAGTGAGTTGAGACAAGTCCCCATCCCACCCCCAGACCCTCATGGAGCCGCTTGGTCCACTGAGCCAGGGTGGGGAAGAGACCTATGGGGAAGGAGGGCGTTGTGATGGGGGGCACCAAGCAAAATCCCCAGTGGGAGGGATTTAAGTCCTGGGGGAGTCGGGAGACCCAGGAGCCCGCGGTCCGGCCAGTCACTGCTTCTCCTCTCCCTGCGCGGGGTCTGGGAGACCGCAAGCCACCCCGCAGGCATGCG